AGCAATGAGAAACAAATTAATAGTGGCTAATAAAAGTTTAGCAAGGATATTCATTGGTGCTGCCTATCGATGATAAAATGATATGCCAACTTGCTATTCTGAGTAAAATTGAAACTACATTTCATATTGAATGACCAATTTATTGCAACTGCACGATTGATATAATTTTTCCTCTAATTTAAAAAATACTTTCCACGGGTGCTGATGATGCACCAATGGCCGAATAATATTGGCTTGTTTAGCAAGGATAATCTGTTCATTGCTGCTACCTGTATTCACATGAAAACATTAAAGTCGTGGCAACTGGCTATTCTTACGTCTTGTTCTGAGAATAATTTTGAAAGTCATTCTCTGTGTGTGCATCAATGTTGCTTTGATGGACCTCAATGATATATTTCAGATTTTCTTCCAACTTTAAATCATTATTAATATTTCACTGTTACATTCATAATTTAATTTTAAGAAAACAAAAAGCCTGACACAGCATTTCACTCTTGGTTCAACCGACTAACAACTTGACATCATTCTATTGTTAGAAGAAAAATTAGAACCCCTGGACTATACAGGCATGGATTTGTGGCTATGACACAGAATCAGTTTTACCACATGCCAGAAGGGTTTCACTTGGTTCAATCACAGAAGTAACATGTAATGGAATGCAGGTAGAGCATTCATGTTGCTGGAAATTTATTGCACCCTCTCATTGAGAACTAATAATTAATGGGTCATGATAGACAGAGTTATTAGTAACGCGATAGCGTCAATAAGTAGGATTCACGCCACTTCAAAATGGCTGCCACGACTTTTGCAGCCTTGCTATACTGGGAAAACAAGCTCCTATGCTTACCAGACTTTATAGAGGACCTTATCTTGATCAGAAGACTCCAATGGAACCACTAGTGTGTCTGAACCATGTTTGAGAGGCAAGTCAAAAATCCGGAAAAAGGCTGTATTGTTCAGCCACCTTTTTTCATCATCATCAAGTCCTGTCAATCCAGTTGTCGGTCTGTATCTCAACTTGGCTAAGTGATAAAAGCTAATTCTTACACCATTCCACTCCAATAATGCATGCGCAGGTCCCTATTCTTTATGACAATTCTCCAAAAAAGAAAGATGTACTATTACTGCTGGATTGGGCCCATCTTAGCTGCATGCCGCCATTTTGATAATTTTCAAAGCATTTGCTCCAAGAGTTAGGTGTGGTCGTGCATGCTCAGATCAGATCATTTGCTATACATATTCATACTTGTAATATCGAAAATGGCTACAGAGTACAGAAGAACAGGTATGGCTTACATTACATTAGTTATTCATTGCATAATGTCTTATTTTTCACAGGTAATCTTAGTAATTTTGAGGGACAGTGAGGAGACTTCTTACTTGCCCAAGTCTGGCAGTGGCAATCATTATGCTTGCAGGTTCAATTCATTGTTGTTGAATATTCATGTTATTAGATGCTTTAAGTTCTGTAATTATAGTATTTTAATTGCTGTTGTTATCATTGAATTGGGTGCGGGCTATATGGGTGTGGTTTACGCATGCTCAGTTGTGGTACTCCTCATGAACTGAATGCAGTAAATAAGAGTTCTGCTCTCAAGAGCTGTTATCTGCTTATCTAACTCTCTTTATTAAAGTGCTGGTTCATTAAGAAGATTGAAAAATAAGCTTTGATACTACTTATAATTTAATTGCTAAAGTCATTATTATTACTGAAAGTAGCCTTTACATCTGGTTGATTTCATCATTGTATATATATATATATATATATATTAGTATAGCTATATAACCAATGCCTAAGTTTAATGGTAAAATATCTGCTAAGCTTAGGAATCTAATGAAAGAGAAAAGGGCTAGAGTAAAAGCGAAGTGTAATGATAGCTTTGTGAATGAATAGCATGATATTGCTGCAGAACCAGCACTAGTTTCTAATACTGTAGAATACAGTGGTGGTGTCACAAAGGGTTGTGTGATGATTCTACAGAGCCTGGAGTTGCTTCTAGCTCTGTTAATGATCATAACCCTGAGTTATGTGATATCATAGATTATGTAGTTGCTCCTGCTGCTGATGACACTGACCCTCTTGTTCTTTCTGATCCTTCAGAATGTAATGATTGGTCTGTGTGGGACCATAACCCACCAGAGTTGTGTGACAACACACAGTTTGATGTAGCTACTACTCCTGAAAGTACAACTGTCAGAGAGAGACAGTTAAAGGAAAAAAGGAGCAGTCAAAGAAAAGTACTATGAAAATTATGAAGAAAGCCTAACCAAATCTAAAAGGTATTAGATTATTC